CTGAAGATAATCCAAGCTTCTGACTTGGAGGAGCCCCCCCCCCACCCCCCGAACGAAAGAAAACCGGAACAATGGATGAGGGGCGCATGGGAGTCTTCTCTGCTTCTGCACTTGTCTTCTTTGTTCTTTGTAAGGGCTAGATACAAGCGGCAAGCGAAGTGCCAAGAAATTGGTGCTTTGCAAGGGGTAGATCAGCAAGCGACGTGACCATCGGTCTTGCATGCGAAGCTGTGAGGGGTCCCCCTAACAGCTTCCTTTAGTTGCCGGGCTCTATTTTGGAGAATGTAATGGAAGTGTGTTCACAAATCATACACTCGAAATCGTTGACACAATTGCGCAGCTTCGGCAGGTAGGAGCGAAAGCTGGCAAGAGGGACCGAACGGAATGTTCAGGGCAGAGGCTGATTCGACATGAGTGGCGATTAAGGGGCCGAAAAACCCCGAATCAGTCGCCCAGTCAATGATGCTTCTTTCGGATTCGATCACTTCGGCCGCAGATTGCTTGCATGCGATGGCCCCCTGTTGCGCGTGGTTTGCTCGTCTGTTCGTCGACGCCCTTGTGCACGTATCCACTGGTCCCATGCAAAGGTCGCATCCGATTGGACACTGTCGGAAGGGACCAGAACCCCCACGGCAAACGGTTTTCTGGTCTCAGCCCGCTCGAATGTCGCGTGGTTTTCTTGGTTTGATGCAGGTCAAAGGGCGGGCAATGTTGGCGTTCTAGCTGCATTTCTTTGTGGGCACAATGCTGTGCTTGCCTGTGCTTGCAATCTTCGGTCTTCAACGTCTCCGGTCAGCTAGCGGGTGGGCTTGGATTGGCATCTTCGAGGGCAAGCCGGGTTCAGGGCGTGCAGTGGCGGTGCAAAGGGAGGGCGTGCAGCGGGCGTCGTGCCAGAAACTTGGGCTTCGCTGTGTTGAACGACCACGGACTCTTTCATCGTTCCACCCTCTGGTCGTGCGGAGAAAACCGCCGAGCTACAAGCTCAACGGCTCTTCCAAGCTCATAATGCACACTTCGTCGTCCCTTGTTCTCCGGCAAAGTTCGTGCAATTCGGGGAATGTTTGGGTCGGTTTGGACAGAACTTGGGCCCCGCTGGATGCTGCTTTTCGCAGTTTCCAGGGCGACCATGCGGCGACCATGCTCACATCCATCTGGTGTGATCCGGCTGTATCTTGCTCTTGGTCTTTGAGATTCATCAAATTCATAGACAAGCTCACACCAAAGATATAGCCTACACGGTCCAAGCAATTCTAGAGAAGTGTTGTGCCAAGACGACGTTTTCATGGAACATCTTTTTGTACCTTTTTGTTCAGCATTGTCTGAAGAAACAGCTTCTCATGCGATCTCCATCCACTGTTCGAACCTTTTAATTTTTGCCGGTTGTCTGCGCAGGAAGTTTTGCAGCACCTGGAAAAGTTGGAGCAGGACTGCGTCGGTTCAACAGGCAGTGAAGCATGCTTCGCTGCGTTTCTGCCATCCCGAAATCTTGTAGATGCTTGCACTTCACGCCGTTCATGCTGCCTGACAGGATAATCTCGACTGCCCGATTTGCCTGAGCACCATCGAGGCGCAAGATTGCCAGGTCACTGCCTGCGGCCACCTCTTCTGCCACTTGGGTGGAAGACAACAGTTGGTTGCATGAGCGTCCCTGAACACCCTTGAGAGCTTTGCTTTACGGTTTGAGAATTGTTCCTGCAGGCAAAGAATGCATTACGAGTACCTTGACTTATCTGAGAGCGTTGTCGTGTAGATGCTCTGAGAGGGAAGGAGGCGATATGTGTCGGAAACTGAGGCTGGCTGGGCAAGCGAGGTAAGTGCCCCACCTGCAACACGCAGCTAAAGCTGCCAAGTGGGGTGGCTTCGGCCGAGGACGTGCTGTCGCGACAGAAGGCCCCAAAGAGCTCTCGCGTTTTCTCTTTGAGTTTTTGTTCGTGTTTTTTCCCCCGGATCAGGAAGCTGCCTGCAAGGGCCGCATTGCTCGCTTCGGATCCAAAATTGAGGCACGGCGTATCACAGCATGATATGAAATGATATGAACTCATGCGATCAAGGCTCCGTGATCCATGTGTTACGCGCCCGCACGAGCTGCAAGTGTGTCATGGGTCGTGTTGGAAAATCCGAGCAGGCATTGTTTCCGAGTGTGATCTCGGGCATGCGTTCGCCCAGATGATTTGGAGGAAGGTCTTTGAAGCAGCTTGCCTGCCAGGCGGTGTGCACCCAGCTCAACAGCATCTGGAGCAACGAGCCTAAGGCAAAGGTGATCGTTTTTGTTCAGTTCGAGGTCCTGCGAAAGAATCTTGATTGAACGGAGATTTATGCTCTGTTCCTGGCTTCATGTTGCTGCTCCAATTGCACCTGTCCAAAGTCCTCTTGCGAATCATCGTCGCTTTCTTGGCCTTGCGCGCCCAAAGGGGCTACATGAAGAGCCACCACATTGGTTTCCGTGAAGCATTTTGTGATCGTTCGTGGCCATGGTTCCCTGAGTTCTCTGAGCCGAGGAAGTTGGAGCATGCGCTTGCAGAACTCGACCTGCCCTGCCTGACTTTGAAGGGAACCGTCTTCGAGCGGCGACGTGTGATTCGGTGCTTTCATGCCGAGGGGCTGCTTGGATGACTAGACGCATCAGGCTTCATACAGATTCGGGTGCAAATCAGACTGGTCAATCCTTAACAAACCTTCCCTTCAATCCTGATCGGATGCCAAGGCATGAGAACAAAATCCTGTTGCTCTCACTGGAGAGAAGCCCATCTGGCATGAATCTGGTTTGTTCCAGCCTGAGACTGCAGCTGCAAGAGGGCATTCCACAATTGGTTCACATATATTGGCCCTCACATCTCTCCTTATTTCCTTAGGCTGTCACCATCTGCTGCTGGTTCACCCGATGGCTGCCGAGAACCGTGATGCTGCCCTAAGCTTCGAGCGCCAGGCGAATTTGCCAAAGTCCTCCGCAATGCAAAGTGAGGCTATGTAAGGCTTTCTCCAGTTTGGTCTTCCACAGTATTTGAATGTACTTGACTACCGTAGCAGCGCGCGTGCACCTGGCCCCGGCCGTGCAGGGGTTCTTTGCCTTTTCAAACTCAATCCGCGCACATCGCGCCCTCCGGGTGCTTGGGCCGTGGTACCCACTGTAGCAAGTAAGAACCGAAAGAGATCCTGTTCATTCACATGTCTCTTCGGCTGTTGCGTAATCAAGTTCTCCTGCCTATCCTCAGTCCGGACGTGCGCGCAGGGACCAGGCGTCCGCGCTCCTGGACTTGGGCATATAGGAGCCGAATAGGACTCTATTCATGTCCTATTCCAACTTAATCCTGGTCACCTTGCCAGCCTCAGTGCCTTGACTTCATGTAACATAGACACTTCGTATATTCCCCCGCAAAGCTGGGCGGCTTGCTACATTCTGAGCGGATGCTTGATATCCCTTTCGAATCTGGTCAAACATTTGCTGAAGAACCTGTCAAGGATTCAAAGTTTGTGGCTCCATTCGGGCCTATCCTGGACCAAATGAGAAGTAGCAGCCATAAGTCATACAGCCCGTCAAGAAATAAAGTATGAACCAGTAGATTTGTCTCTACTGCAGCATGTTTCGGTGGAAAGGCGATCGGCCGCGTGAGGCGACAAGGGCAGAAGCACAATGTGCACGTGTCCCTCATCTGGGCAAAGGCATGGAAGCCTTAGCTTGACTGGATTGAACGCTTGCATGCTCATAAGAGATCCTACAGCAGTTGCAAAACTTTGGACTTCAGAATTTTGAAGATTCTGAAGGCTTGTGACTGCAGCTTTAGGTATCGCTTCTACGTCCGTGACACAATGGAGGAGCTGGCACATCATGATGCGCCTTGCAAGTATGATGAACACATGGGGAACATACCATTGAAAGTATGAGTGCCAAAGCAGAGAGTGTTGGCAGGAGGAGATGGTGCACAAGCACCACGACGAGCTACTGAAGGGGAAGGACAGCAAGGAGGAGTCGCCCGATGGCAAGGAGGAGGGTGCGGGCCCCGTGGGCGATGCGGGCAGCAGCACCGACCCGCCAAGGCCAGTGTCAGTACTTTTTCACATCACGCGATTGGCAACGAGCAATCCTCAGCATCGTCCATGCTCATATTGGCAGGGGAGCTTCTGAGTTCCAAGCTTTGTGATTGGGACATGCTTGGCCTACATCGTCTTCACCAAAAGTTCCTTGACGAAGCGACGGCAACTTTGTCGCAGGCCCAGTCTATTGTCATCGCCGTGTGGCCATGTCGCTATCCGTATGCCCAACTCTGTACCGAGGTGGAAGTGGCATGGTGGCTCTCCACATGAGCTTGACAAGATGCAGAATCAGGGTCCGGAAAGAGATGACATTGCACAGCCCTTGCAGGGCTCCGGTTCGCCGGGAGGTGTCTCTGACACTCCGAGGTGGCGACATTTAGCTTAGCGCAGAGCTGCCCAACGCGGCAGCAGATTTCAGCTCGGTCACGGGGGGCCTTTAGGAAGCACTTCCTAGATCTTCCTAGATCTTCCTAGATCTTCCTAGATTCTGCTGTTCCAAGCTGGCAACTTTATTTTGTGTGGCCACGTTTGACATATCCTCCACTCCGCGGCGAGCTTTGGTGGGGATGCGGGGGCTTGCTGTTGACTTGAAGGCAGTGAGGCCAACTGAGACATGCACGAGCTCAGAGACAGCAAACTGTCTGGGAGACCACATCTGCACGTATGAGCTGTCTTTGTCCTCGTGTATGCCAGATATGTCATTGAGACAAATGACATCGTCGAACGTATCGTAGTGAAGACCCAAGGGCATTTTCCTCTACTTTGCCTTTGTCTTGGTCGCTACAGAATTTCATTGTGGGCTGGGAAAGGGGCGGTTAAAAACAAAGTTTTGCATGACCACGAAATTGTCGTGATCCGTGTGTTCAGAACTTGGCCGCATGCTTGTTTAGACTCAGTTTCGACATGCCAAGGAGGACACAAACCGACACAAGTCACCTCAGCTTGAGCAGTTTCAGTGCCTGTGCCAGGCTGCCTTGGAATCATTGACCAGCCAGCCCGAAGTTCACGCCGGAGAAGCTGCCTCAAGCTTGCAGGGTTAGTGGGTTCGTGGCAGATGGAGCAACTCTGCCAGTCTCAGGTCATACGCTTCTATGCGGTGCCCTTGCGCAGATCCATTCTCCAGCAGTATCCAAGGAATGTGATGCTTGAGTCGAGTTGGCAGGTGTTGGGAGCAACTCTTTCTCCATCTTGCCAGGAGCAGTGCGGCGGAGCTTGTCCAGAGCTTGGCGAAGCTATTGAGGTGGGCCAGCTTGCCAAAACTTGATGGGGCAGTTCTGGGCAGCCGTGCCGCAGTTTTCTTTCCTTGCGACGATGTCATCCCAGACCACCTCCATTGACAATGCATCCAAGCATTGTTCCCACCCGATTTGTAAAGACGTCCACGGGGAACAAAAACGAGAAACAGCATAGCCGTTGACGGCCGCCCTTTTCAGCACGAAGCCACACAGGCTCGAGCCAACGTGAATCGGGTGATCCTTTTGAGGATCCCTGGACACCAGCCTAGATGGCACTTGAACAACTCCGACCCGACGAGTACGGGCGAAGATAGTGTCCCCCGGTGCTTCTAAATCAACCGAACATAAACCAGTCCGGGAGAAGAACTTTCAGCAACAGGCCAGGACTCAGAAGGCATTTAGGCTAGCTCTGGACATTGTTCACGGCTTCCAAGACAAGCTCCCCCCACATGATTCATGGGTTTCATGGAGCTCGGAAGAGTATGACGTAGAAAGTGGTTGAGTTCCAAGGCTGCGGAAAGACACAACAGCCCACTCGCACCACAATATGCTCTCGCGCCTGAGGGCTTCCTCTGCTTGAGCAATGTGACATCCAACCTCCTGCAGCACTTGCGTGTGTGCATGTTCGTAGTCTGGAGTCTAAATGAGTCTGGAGATTGAATGCGCACGGATGCACGCGGTATTGTTTATCTTCGGATAACGTACTCGTTTTCCATGTTGTGCATACCAATGTGTGTTACTTATTGCATTACTGCTCACAGCCCTCTGAGAAAATAGTGCGCACAGTTCTCATGGCTTAACGGCATCTACTCTGTCTGGGGTGGTATAACCTGAATCTATAGGTTATCAGCCGTAGAGCTGGTACCCTTGGGTTTGCGTGCAATCAGTGCATGAGTTCCTCTGAACTGGTACCAACAGAAGTTGCGACATCTGTGGTCGCCTCTAGCGACTTGGAGGACGAGATGGCGTCTCTGCCAGCAGAAGGAGAGCAGCTCTCAAACTTGGGAAGCCAAGGGTTAGCCACTCTTGGTAGCCCTGGGATCAACGTTTTCGGTGGCGCAGGAGAAACTCCTTTTAGACCCACTAACCCTAATGCTGCTACACCTATTGCTGCGCAATTGCATCTCCACAGGCAACAGTTCCAACAGAACATAGGTATCAACATAGGTTTGTCAGAAGATGAGGTCCGTGCACGACTTAGCTTACTAGAGTCTGAAGCTGAACGCAGGCACCAAGGCTTGATGGAAGCTATGAGAGCGACAGCTGAGCAGAATTTCGCAAACGCGGAAGAAGAAGCCAACAGCGTACACAGACAGGTTGTCGCGTCCCTTGAAGCAACACTTGCCAACAGTGAGCTAGATAGCGCTAGAAACGCCGGTTTACTGATGCAGGAGTTGAGGATGCGTGACCACCACCTGCAGAGCGAAGCACAAATGTACAGAAGCGCGAAACAAAGTTTTGAACGCAGTGAGCAGTTGAGGGAGCAAAACCTCCAAGAAGTTGAGGGAAACAAGCAGTTAGCGTTGCTTCAATTCGGGTCATACCTGAAGAAGAACTATGACGAGCACGTCGAAACGCTAAGGAGTGAACTTGCAGAACTAAGGACTGAGTTTTCAACAACTGAGGATGCGATGTATCGGCAGAACGATAGCCTCCAGGATGAGGTGTCGTCCCTAGAGAACGCACTAAGGAGAGAGCAAGAGCAAGTCGCTCAGCTCCGCCACTTGCCTCAGGGAACCACTGCCGGTGCGAGTCAAGCGCCCAATCCGCTAACTCCTCAGATGATGAACCCGTCAACACCTCAGTTTCCTAACCCGCTGTTCAATCAACCTCCTCAGCCAGTGCCGACAGGGCCCCCAGGCTTTCAAGCCCCCGCAGGCCCAAGCTCGTCAGACCCCGGTGTAATTCCGGAGTCACTAAAAGCATTAGCTGCTAATTTCCTGAGCAACAACAACCAAGTCACTGCAACACCTCCTGGTCTTTTTCCCGCAGGTGCGCCCCAACCCTCAGGTATGCCGACGGCGTCAGCCGGACAGTTGCCTCCCGGGCTAGCTTCCCAAACCGGACAGCTGCTTGGTTCGCAAACTGCGGCCCCTGCGGGCACGCCGGGTAGCGCGGGAGACCAAAGTACAGTAGCTTTGCAACAAGCACTCTTAGAAGCTGCGAAGTTTTTAAAGGGTGAGAAAACCCCTGAAGAAGACAAACCCAAAGTCAAAGAAGCCGATGTGGTCAAGCTCCCAGATCTTTCCCAATCCGGAAACCTATCGCTCTTGGAAAACAGCTACAAGGGAAGCAGTAAGGGCTGCGTCTGATAGGCCGGATGCTGCTTTTAAGTGGATCCTTGAGGTCTACGAAAACGGAGCAAGCCACGAACAGCTCAGGGATCCCGGCATCTTCTTGACGCTGGATACCAAGATCCTAGCCGCTTTGACCAAGGTCGCCAAAGGCGAACTTGCCCGCCAAGTGCTCAACTTCAAGGAGTCTGAGGCAGTAGCAGGCAGGGCTGTAAGGGGTAGACAAGTTTTGTTCATGTTTGAGCAACATTTCAAAACCAATGAAGCTGCGGGATCTCTTTACTCAGTAGAGGATCTTCTCAAGGTTGCACTGCTAGGTGACGACTTGACCACGTTCATCTACAACTGGGACTCTGTAGTGGCCGGTTTGAGTCACAAACCCGATGAAACCACGCTGAGAGATATCTTCCTTCGTCAAATCCGGAAGTCGACTAGGATGAAATATGACTTGGAAATTTACGATCGTGCCAAGGAGGGAACCTCCACGCATTCGTACGAGTTCCTGGTCGAATCGATTCGAAACCTTCTCAACCGCGAACGTATGCGGAAGAATCGAGATCGCATCGCTAAGTCGCATGGCGACCGATTCGGTGCTCCTGTCTTAGATCCTAGAGCCGGACGCCCCCCTTCGAGGGGAGGCCGGGAAAGGACTCCCTCGCGTGGCAGCTCAAGGTCCAGGGCCTCATCGCAGAGGTCTCCAAGCAGATCCCCAGGTAGGTCACAAAGTCCCAAACGCGGTGTTTGCTACGACTTTCAAAAGGGCAAGTGCAAAAAGGGTGACAAGTGCAAGTATGAGCGCAGGAAACGTGACCCAAGCCCGAAAGGAAAGTCCAAAGAAGTGTGTACCTTCTGGAAGAAGGGTAAATGCACTCGTGGGAATAAGTGTCGTTTTCTCCACAAAGACAGATCTCAGTCGCCTTCTGCGGCTCCCACTGCGGAAGCTGCGACACCAGCCTCAAAGCCCGAGAAAGCTAGGTCACCTTCCCCAGCGCCGAAGAACAAGCGCAAGCCCAGCAGGGGACGTTCAAGGGAAAAGGACAAGCACGCAGCTTGCTGTGTGTCTTTCGCAGCCGCGGCCCCAGCTGGACCAAGGGATGAGCCTAGTGTCAAGGGTGAGGATTACTGGGAGGTCGACTTCAAAAGAAAGGAGGTTGTGAGACACCATTGTTCCTACAGGTCAGAAATGTTTAACCCGACTTCGCAGGATTGCCCAATGGATCTTCGCAATTTGGGGAGCATGGCTGTTGCCGTCAAGACATTGCCAGTGGCCCCATTTGCTGAGAAAGAGTCGTGGAACTGGAGGTCCAAGCGATCACAACAGAACACGACCCCTTGGGTAGGCAAAACAGTCTTCAAAATCAAGGACCCAAATCGCAAGCTTAGGTTTAGTGACAAGGTCCGCGTTTACCAAGTCCCAATGGACAAATGCATCAAGTTGATTCGCAAGCCAAGACAGTTCTCTGTATGCTACTTAGATGAAAGGTCCTGCCCCAAATCATCCAAAGATGACAGAGAGTGCGCCAAGAACGTAGTCTTAGAGTTGGCCAACGTCGTTCAAGCTTCGTTGCGTGGCGAAAGCGTAGACTGTGACTACGAGTGCGAGGACGAAACGTCACTCACATGCGAATGCTGTGAGAACTTCGGCCGTGCAGCCGAGCTCGCCTGTCCGAGTGCCGTCGACTACCTGGAGTTCCTTGCGGACACGGGCAGCGAAGAGGACCTTATCAGTCGCGCGGACCATGCAGCCCACTTTGGGGACGTGCCGGTGAACAGTGCCTCTAGGCATGTCAACCTTATTACCGCGAACGGTTCTATTAAGGGTGACAAGTCGGTGCAGCTCGAAGTTCCCGAATTTGGCGGAAAGTTGGAGTGTTACTTGCTTGACAGCACACCTCCTGTATTCTCTGTAGGCAGACGGTGTATGGAGGACGGTTTCGAATTTCATTGGTACCCTAAGAAAGCCCCGTATTTCATCTCGCCTGAGGGAAAGAAGCTTAGGTGTCGAATGCGAGGTATGGTGCCAGTGATAGCCAGCGATACACTCGCAGCTCCTGCGATCCAGGAGGGCCCCACTAGTTCCGTAGGAAGCCAAGTCTTCAGTGTCCCGGAACCCACGCAGGAAACAACTTGCGCTGTGGCTGAGGTTGATGCTGAGGGTTTTCAGGAGTAAGCCGCCCATATGGGTTGGCCGGGGTAAGCGAGGAAGCTGAAGAAGAGCCAGCGCCCGAGGTCGAGCACCCCGACCCCGAGGTTGAAGCTGCAGCAAAAGCGGTGCCCCCTATCGCAATCGACAGGGCAAAGCTCCTAAAGACAGGTTGGACTTCTGGTGTTGCCGGATTTCCTTACGTCATTGTGGGGCACAAACCCAAAACCTTTAGGACTCCAAGTCCCAAACACCCCCGGTGCGATGTCAGGACCACGTGGATCTTTCAGGACTCAGCATGGACTAAGGTCGAAGACAAGGTCCACATCCGTGAGCTTCCCAACAAGGCGGCCAAATTCGACAGGCCGTGCGCAATGAGCATTACGGTGTTCAGCATTTCGGAAGAGGATGACGTTGAGCCTGATAGCGACGCTGAGGAGCCAACTGCCCGGAGTCGTTCCGAGGCCGCTCTAAAGGCGGAGGCCATAAGTCTTGAGCACCAATTCACGCATAGACCAAAGAATCCTTTCTGTCCTGTTTGTCAACGCGCAAAGATGTTGGCCCCACA